CATCAGAGGCTGACGGAGCTTCTGTTGACTGCCCAGAGCAGTATTCCGTATTCAGAGTTGGTCTGTGGGAAATGCCGTGGGATTCCATGGCACACCTGTGCTGGCTGTGTGTGTGCATGGGGCCACTAGTCCAGCTGTTGTGGTCACAAGTCAGTTTCTTTATGAGGCAGATCAACCTAGAATAACTCAGTCTGTGGGCTCCAGCTCTGCCGCTACCAAGCCCCTTACACACACACTCTCTCTCTCACACTCGCTCTCTGTCTCTCTGGCCACACACACACACACTCTCACACTCGCTCTCTTTCTCTCTGGCCCCACACACACACACACACACACTCTCTCTCTCTCACACTCGCTCTCTTGCTCTCTGGCCACACACACACACACACACACACACACACACACTCGCTGTCTCTCCCTCGCTGTCTCTCTCGCTCTGGGAAGCCATGACCTAGTACCTAGTCAGGAGGTGGTCGCGTGCGCCTCTCTGCCCTCTGCGTGTGGTGCGTGGTAAGGGGAGGCCGACTGTCCTCTGGATGGATCCCTCCTTTGCCCACCTGAGCCAAGTGTGTGGGTGTTCAGCCAGCACGTGACGTGGTGTTCTGAGCTATTTCATTTTTCTTTCCTTTTCTGTTCAGCCTCCAAACCTCAGATCTGTCCCCAAAGCCCTAAATTAAATTAGTGTTCAGCTCAACAGATGTCCACCAAATCCCCACGCCCCATGATAGCAGCTGCCATTACTGAGCAGCCGCATGGCCATCCCGTTTGCTCCTCAGTCACCTTGCCTGTGGGCACCATCACCTCCTCTGCCTGACAGACACAGAGCCCACGGCTCAGGGAGGGCAACCTGCCTGCCCAAGGTCACCCAGCTGGCAGTGGCGGAGGTGATGGGGACTCACTCCCAGCCAGGCTGTGGCAGTGACTCACACGCTCTAGACAGGAACAGAGGGACTCAAGCCCCTCAAGCATGGGTGATGGGGCAGGGGGATTCATACCAGGCCTCATTCCAGACTCTGATCCTGAACCACACAGTGGTGGGGGGCACGCTCACAGGTGAGTGTGGTCAATTCAGAAGCTGAGGCTTCCCCCTCCAAGGAAGCCCTCGATATTGACATATGGATGATCCTATTCTGTTTTGTGTTTTCACTTCCTTGCTGTCCTGAGCTAGGGACTTGGCCTGACCATCCTCTACCCTGTGAGGCCTGGGCTTGCTGGGCCTTTATGGAGGCCCCTTGCCATGGGGGAGAGACCAGGACAGCCTGGTGGTGGCTTAGCCAAGCTACACCTTCTATTTCCAATAACAACGTAAAACCACCTTGCAGAACTGTGAGAGCCAAGCCGCCTGAAGCCCAGAGGAGCTCTGCCCTGCCTGGCACATGGAATGGCATCTTATTTGCTTGAGGGAGAAAATCTGGTGCCTAGGATTCTTTCCTCAGCCGAACAGCTGTTTTCCCAGTATTTCACCTGCGTTCTTTCTTTAGAATCGGACCTCTGTGTGACTTAGGGCCTCCGTTGTTCATTTGAAAATGGGGATGCTGATTGAAAAATGGAGATACAGCTGGGCGCAGTGGCTCACTCCTGTAATCCCAGCACTTTGGGAGACCGAGGCAGGTGGATCACTTGAGGTCAGGAGTTTGAGACCAGCCTGGCCAACATGGTGAAACCCCGTCTCCACTAAAAATACAAAAATTAGCCGGGCGTGGCGACAAGCTCCTGTAATCCCAGCTACTCAGGAGGCTGATGCAGGAGAATCGATTGAACCTGGGAGGCAGAGGTTGCAGTGAGCCGAGATTGCACCACTGCACTCCAGCCTGGGAGACAGAGAGGGACTCCTTCTCAAAAAGAAAAAGAAAGACGGGGATGCTGATGCCCTCAGCACAGGTTGAGCCGAACAGATGCGCCAGGTCTTTGAAAGGACAGGCGGAAGTGCAGTGAATGTGAATCTGGTCCCTCCTCCCCTCACCTGTTCTACCTCATTTAGTAGCATCTTCTTTTAGCTCCTGTGAGAAAAGTCATGCTAATAGAAACATAATGCTTTAATCAGTAACACCCATGTCTCTGTTTTAGCTTTTTATTTTGGGAATGCTCAGATATACACAAAAAACAGAGTGTAGAGCATCTCAAGCCCCTGGGTATTCGTCTCCCGGCACCAGCAGTGGGCAACACCTGCCCATTCCTGCCTCACCTCTTTCCCACTGCAGTGTTTTGAAGCAGATCTCAGATACTGTATCTGAAAGATAACTTCTTACCTTGAACACCCACAATAGTGCTATCACATCCTCCCAAACACACTTATAAGCCCTTAGTCTCGTTGAATACCCAATCAGTGTTCACGTCTCCCCAGTTGCTCATCTTTTTCTCCAGTCGGTAGAGTGCGATGCCCACAAGATGCGTGCCTCTCATTAGGTGGATATGTTTCTTGAAGAATGGGGTCCCCGTGGGGGGCACTAGGCAGGAGTTGAGCAGCAGGGGGCCCTCGCTGGCCTCTGCCCGGGGCCCCCACTAATTCTGCTCTTTCCAGCTTCACCTGCTGGATGCTCTGGGCATTTGATTCCCACCCTAAATGTGACTCTGTACGAGCCTGGTTTTCGCTTGTGGGATGGAATCTGGTTTTCTGCCTCTGTCTGGATTTTTTAGGAATCATTCTGTGTCCTTGGCTGAGTGCAGTGGCTCACGCCTATAATCCCAACACTTTGGGAGGCCCAGGTAGGCAGATAACCTGAGGTCAGGAGTTTGAGACCAGCCTGGACAACATGGCAAAACCCTGTCCCTACTAAAAATACAAAAATTAGCTGGGTGTGGTGGTACACATCTGTAATCCCAGCTACTGCGGAGGTGGAGGAAGGAGAATAGCTTGAACCTGGAAGGTGGAGGTTGCAGTGAGCTGAGATTTCGCCACTGTGCTCCAATCTTGGTGACAGAGCGAGACTCTGTGTCAAAAAAAAAAAAAAAAAAATCATTCTGTGTCCTAGGGTGAATGTACCTAACTTTCTAAAATTTCTAATAGGTATTAAGTTGGTTAATATCACTTTGCTGCTTTTGTAGGTCAAATATGGTTGACTATTGGCAATTTCATGTAGTTCAACCTAAGAAAAGGTACAATTTAAGTTTTTAAGTGAAATAAGAGCCAGGAGTGGTGACCTACTTTACTCCTATAATCCCCACACTTTGGGAGGGTGAAGCAGGTGGATCACTTTAGCTCAGGAGTTCGAGACCAGCCTGGGCAATATAGCAAGACCCCATCTCTACAAGAAAATAAAAAATAAATTAAAAAGTTATGGCTGGGCGCGGTGGCTCACGCCTGTAATCCCAGAATTTTGGGAGGCCGAAGTGGGTGGATCATGAGGTCAGAAGTTCAAGACCAGTCTGGACAACATGGTGAAACCCCGTCTCTACTAAAAATATAAAAAATTAGCTGGACATAGTGGCACGTGCCTGTAGTCCCAGCTACTTGGGAGGCTGAGGCATGAGAATCGCTTGAACCTAAGAGGCAGATGTTGTGGTGAGCCAAGATCACGCCAGTGTACTTCAGCCTGGGGGACAGTGCAAGACTCCGTCTCAAAAAAAAAAAAAAAAAAAGCTAAAAATTGAAATAATTTAACATATGTGTTGTACCGGGGATGAGAACTGGGGGTGGGGGACCAGCATGTGCACAGTACTGGTTCATCAAATAAGAGAGACTGAGTAAAATCAGACATCTGCAGCCCAAGTATTCTCCAGTATATGCTTTCAGTGAGTCTTTGTTTGATACAACAGCTGTACTGAGGATGATCCACATACCACACATTTCACCTATTTAAAGTGTACTGGCCTGGCTCAGTAGCATGCCTGTAATCCCAGCACTTTGGGAGGTGAGGTGGGCAAACTGCTTCAGTCCAGGACTTTGTGACCAGCCTGGGCAACATAGCGAGACCCCATCTACAAAAATATTAGCCAGTGTGGTAACATGTGCCTGTCATCCCAGCTACTTGGGAGGCTGAAGTAGGAGGATCACCTGAGCCTGGGGAGATGGAGGCTGCAGTGAGCTGAGATTGCATCCGTGTACTCCAGCCTGGGTGACAAAGTGAGACTCTGTCTCGGAAATAAAGTGTACAAGTTGTTGATTTTTTTTTTTTTTTGTATATTCACAGAGTTGTGCAACCACTGTTGCCATCAATTTCAGAATGTTATCATTACTCCTAGAAAGAGACCCTGTACGCATTAGTGGTCATTCCCATATCCTGCTAATCCCTCATCCCTAGGGAACCCCTACTCTACCCTCTGTCCCCATGGATTTGCCTGTTCGGGGCTTTTCCTGTCAATGGCAGCATAGAGTATGTGGTCTTTGGCGTCTGGTTGCTTTTGCTTTGCACAGCATTTTCAAGCGTCATTCCTAATGCAGCGTTTATTGTTCCATTGTATGGACAGGCCACGTTTTGTTTCTCCATTCATCATGCGTGGGCCTTTGAGTTGTTTCTACCTTTTGGCTGTTATGCGTACATACTGCTGTGAAAGCTCTATATAAGTTTCTGTTGAGCATGTATTTCTTCTGGGTATCTACCTGGGAGTGGAATTGCTAGGTCGTACCGTCCCTCTGTGTTTAGCCTCTTGTGAACCTTCAAACTGTTTCCAAAGCACCTGCACCTCTGGCTGCCACTGGCAGCAGAGGAGGGTTCTGATTTCCCCCACATCCTCGCCAGCACATGTTGTTCTGTGACTTTAGGATTGCATCCGTCCCAGTTGATATTGTAACAAAACTTGCCCAGCAGAGTGAGATATCTGTAGAGGACAGGAAAAGGGCTGTTTTGTTAGTGGCTTGGCCTATCAGCCACGGTCGTTTTTTTCAAAAGCTCCTGAGGAAACCCCGTGTAGTGCGTGAGCCACAGCACGCGCAGCCGAGCACCCTGCACCCCTACTGGCTGCGGCCCTTGCTGGTGGCTGGTGGGAGGGGAGGGCTTGATCTGTAACTTGTTTCCAGGATGTGGAATAGTCTCATCTGCCGCACGCCCCTTTCTCCACAGGTGTGACCATGAAGCTCATGGACGAGGTTGCTGGGATCGTGGCTGCACGCCACTGCAAGACCAACATTGTCACAGCTTCTGTGGACGCCATTAATTTTCATGACAAGATCAGAAAAGGTAACCACTCTTCTGGCAAAGACGAGGGAGGCGGTGGCCTTCAACTGCTTGGGTCCCTGTACCAGTTTGTTTTCTGTTCACACCGAGGGTCACATGGGCCATGGCATGTGCCCGTCTGCCACAGGGAACAGGAAGCTGAGGTTTCTTGCTTTGTCCTTGCTGTTTGTCGACTTGATGTTTCAATCTGGTAAAATCCTTGACTCATCAGATATGATGGGGCCGTTATCCTCCTAAAGACCTGCCTAAACTCACCCTCTGAAAACGCTCCACAGACAGAGCTCTGGGAAGGTCCTGTGCCTACAGCTGCCATGACCCTGGACACCAAGCACATTTCATTTTGGGAGTGGAATTAATGATTCATGATTTAGGCAGTGGCAGGGTCAGTACAGAAAAGCCCACAGGAGCCCCTCCTCGGCCAGCCCTGCCCACGCCACCCAGGGCAGCACTGGCATTGGGTGGTTTTTCCTCATGACAAAAATCCAACCCCAGCCACCTGGGCCCTGCTGGAAACGGTGCCTGCTGTCCCTGGGGTGCGTGTGCCAGCTTGAGAGGCCACAGGCCTCTGCAGTTTGTATGAACAGAGATCACCATGCTTGTCTTACATTACTGTTCTCTGCAGAAGTAAAGTGAAGTGCACCCGACACGTAGTGATTTCTGTCAGTGTCACGTCTGCTGAGATGCGGCCGTGCACACCCCCTGCAGCAGCACTGCCTCGCAGGCCAAGGGTGGTGTCAGCATTGTCAGGGCCTGGTGCTGATTCTGAGGACACCTCCCTCACTAAAGCGGCTGGTTAGAGGAGCTGTTGGCTGAGACCAGCCCCGTGTCGTGGGAAGCAATAGAGTAGAAGAAGTGCAAGCTTGGCCCTCCTTGCCACAGCTCCTGCCCACCAGAGCCTGAGTAGGGGCAGACTCCCAGGCCCTGGGCAGGCCAGCCTTGGTGCTCTCTCCGGCAGCTACTACCACAGAACACGCCTGGCAACGGGAGACCCAGGACTGGGGCAGAAGCACCTGAGATTGGAACAGTAGAGGGCCGCCTCCCTCCCTGAAATTACTGAGAGCAGGATAGGCTTGCACATGCTGGATTTTGGATGCTTTGGGGTGAGGAGAAGGAAGGTCTCTGGCATTGCTTTCTTCCACTTTGCAGAATCCTTTTTTTCCCCCACGACACGGTCTCATTCTGTCACCCAGGCTGGAGTGCAGTGGCGTAATCTGCTCACTGTAGCTTGAACTCCCGTGTTCAAGCGATCCTCCCACCTCAGCCTCTCAGGTAGCCGGGACTACAGGCCAGCTCCACCGTAACTGACTAATTTTTGTATTTTGTATTTTTTGTAACAACAGCAGCTCACTCAAAATCTTTTCTTAACTGATAGATGTTTGCCACAAACCTAGACCACAATGTCATTTTAGAATCTACCCAAAACAAGTGGGTCCCGTATGTTTTAGCTTGTCCCCCACAGGCCTGCGCGGTGCGTGGCAGTGCCTGACGCGGCGGGATAATCCGTGGCATCGTATTCCATGCTGCTTTTTCTAGGACTCATGCCTGGGTAAATCACGATTAGGGTGACCTTGTGAAATACAGATGCACAGCCCATAGTGGGAAACATGCACATTCCATAGGACTCGCCGTGCTCAGTTGTCCCTGAGTGTCCTTGGAGAACTGTCAGGAAAGAAATAGACTTTCCGGCCGGGTGCAGTGGCTCACGCCTGTAATCCCAGCACTTTGGGAGGCCGAGATCACAAGGTCAGGAGATCGAGACCATCCTGGCTAACACGGTGAAACCCCGTCTCTACTAAAAATACAAAAATTAGCCAGGTGCGGTGGCGGGCGCCTGTAGTCCCAGCTACATGGTAGGCTGAGGCCGGAGAATGGCATGAACCCGGGAGGCGGAGCTTGCAGTGAGTGGAGATCGCGCCACTGCATTCCAGCCTGGGTGACAGAGCGAGACTCCGTCTCAAAAGAAAAAAAAAAAGAAATAGACTTTCCAAGATGGTCACTCTGTTTCCTAAATGTCAACCCCAGTCATCAGATGTTCTCTGCACAAAGCCCAGCGAAGCACCCAAAGAATGAAAAGGCAAGCTTTGTTAGAAATGTGGAAGCCGTTCAAGGGGGATCCTCCCGTCCAAAGTCCCCAGCTCGGCCAGGCACAGTGGCTCACACCTGTACTCAGCACTTTCAGAGGCCAAAGTGGGTGGATCACTTGAGCCCAGGAGTTCGAGACCAGCCTAGCCAACATGGTGAAACCCCATCTCTACTAAAAACACAAAAATTAGCCAAGCGTGGTGGTGGGTGCTTGTAAACCCAGCTACTTGGGAGGATGAAGCATGAGAGTCGCTTGAACCCGGGAGGTGGAGGTTGCAGTGAGCCGAGATTACACCACTGCACTCCAGCCTGGGCAACAGAGCAAGACTCTGTCACAAAAAAAAAAAAAAGTCCCCACCCTCAACTCCTTGTACAACCAGAGTTAACTATTAAGGGAGAGTGCTAGGAGGTGTGTCGTGGTTCTTGGTCAATAGGAATCATTAATTTTAAGGGAAAACCAGGGACTGCAGTCTGGGTCGAATGCTTTTAACAGGAATTAACTTAGCAACCTAGAAGACATCTGGGGCAACTCGGACGAGGAGCCGCTTTGACAAAGACTTTCCACAAGGCTTACAGGAGGGGACCTTCATTTTCCGAAGCCAGAATTCCTGGCAGGACATTCACTTGCATTGGCTTCCTTCACGCAGTGAGGATGCAGGGCAGGCTGGGTGGGCTCGCCTGATGCCCGCTGTCCTGAGCCACACCCAGGGCCTGACAGTGGGCCACCCAGGCCCCCACCTCGTCTTGGCTTTGGCCAGGGCCTCCTGGGTAAAGCACTGGGCCCTTACTAGGAACAGAAAGACTGTTGTTTTCTTCGATGACATCTTGTTTTGTGTATAGAGGAATTTGGACCAAACTGAAATAGCAGCCATGGAGTCTGGCCTGTTTCTGTGCCAGCGTCCTCCAGGGCCCACTGGATGCTGTCACATCCGGGGGCCATTGAGTGCTGTCACACTCGTGTGTTGTTTTCCAGAGGATTGTCGCACCTGCCAGGTCATTTGCAGGGAGGCGAGGGCTGTCCTGGCCGAGTGGGGCCTGGGTTGTCAGAGCAGGGTATCGTGCTTGCCCCAGGACACTGCACCTTAGATCAGCGCGCTGCCTCCCACGCTTGCCCCTCTGTAGGGAAACAGAGCGAGGCTGTGGGGAGAGGCACGGCCCCTGCTGGCTCTGGGTTCTGGGTGGAACTGGGCGGGTGTGTGAGAAACCTCACGGGGCTGGCCTTACAGTTTCAGTGTGACTTTCTCACGGACTCTGTTGGGGCCGCTGTACACCTTGGAGCCCCACACCTGCCTCTCACTTCGACCATACCATGAAGGAGGCCTCGAGGGCCAGACCCTGCTGCCCTGTCGGGTGGGGGCACACATTCTTGTGGACTGTCCAAGTCAGTGTCAGGAGCCCAGGGAGCTGCTGGCAGGCACGGAAACCTCACCTCGGGTTGCACGTGGTGCCTGGCAGAGCTGTGTACTATAGAGAACGGGCATTGCTTTCTGGTGGGCTCAGAACAATAGACATCTGTTCGCCCCCAGTTCTAGAGGCCAGAATTCTGAAATCAAGGTGTCAGGAGGGCCAAGGTCCCTCTGAAGTCTTCAGGGAAGGATCCCCCGTCCCCGCCTCTTCCAGCTTCTGGGAGCAGCAGCTGTTCCTTGACGTTACTTGGCTTGTGGCTGCGTCACTCTGGTCTGTCTCTGTGGTCACAAGGCCTCCTCCTCTGTCTCTCCTCCTCTGTCTCTCCTCCTCTGTCTCTCCTCCTCTGTCTCTCCTCCTCTGTCTCTCCTCCTCTGTCTCTCCTCCTCTGTGTCTCTTATAAGGACACTTATCGTAGGATTTAGGACACACTTGGAGAATCTGGGGTGATCTCATCTCAAGACTTTTTGCTTAATTATACTTGTTAAGGTATAATTAAGCAAAGGTATGGTGGCTCAATCCTGTAATCCCAGCACTTTGGGAGGCCAAGGCGGGCAGATCACGAGGTCAGGAGGTCGAGACCATCCTGGCTAACACGGTGAAACCCCCATCTCTACTAAAAATACAAAAAGTTAGCCGGGCGTGGTGGCGGGTGCCCATAGTCCCAGCTACTCGGGAGGATGAGGCAGGAGAATGGCGAGAACCCGGGAAGTGGAGCTTGTGGTGAGCCGAGATCGCGCCACTACACTCCAGCCTGGGCGACAGAACAAGACTCCATCTTAAAAAAAAAAAAAAAAAGGCCCTATTCTGAAGTTGTGAGTAGATGTATCATTTGGGGACCCACTTTCTCTCCTTAAAGCTCAACTCGTGTAAACACTAGCTCACTTCCACTTTTAGAAAACCATGAACTTGGTAAAATCCCCTCTGGGATTTACCAGCCCCAAGCGGCCTCTGTCTCAGTGGATGTGGGACCCACTCTTGTGAGAGCCAGCAGTGAGATTGGCGTCAGCCTAGAGAAGGGGCCACTCTGAGGAATTCAGGGGGAATGACCGCAGCAGGCCCCCAGCCCCCCACTTTTGAGAAGAGCAGTCAGACAGCTGGGAAGGGGGCTGGCTCTGGACCCTGACTCCAGAAAGCAGCCCCACTAGAGCCAAATGAGAGTCTCTACAGTTAGCAGGCCTGGGGGCTACTGACGAACGACTGGGGCCTTTCCTCTAAATGGCAGGGAGTCGGGGTCAGTGTCAAAAGTGAGAACGGATGTGACGTCTCCTCCATAAGCCCCAGAAGGCAGCGGTTTTGTAATGAGAAGAAATAGTTGCATAGACCGAGGGTTGCAGTTCTTTGTGTTGGGGCATTGTATTAGTATTAACCTTAAGTCAAGTATAAATTTAATCTGCGTAAGGATTACTTTTAAAATCATACGTTTATGGAAAGGTGCCTGCAGGTGGACTGGGCACATCCAGGTGGTTGGAGCCCTAGGGCACAGCAGGGCCATGGCAGCCGTTCACAGCCTGCGC